GTGTGCATGCATGTGTGGGTCCTCATACTTATGTGTGTGCATGCGTGCAGGGTGTGTGTGTGTGTGTGTGTGTGTGTGTGTGTGTGTGTGTCTGTGTGTGTGTTGTATATTTTGAATATATGTTTAAGGCTGGGGATGTATCTCAGTAATAGAGTGGTTGCTTCAACCCCTAGCACCACAAAATATTTTTCTTGAGATGATGGATAACATTGTATTATTTATCATGTAGGATATAATATTTTGAAGTATATGTACATCGTGGAAAGGTTAAATGCCACTAATGAATGCATCATTTCACCCGGAGAGAGAACACTTAGCTTTGCATTTTCAAGAATACAGTAATCTTCATTAGCTATTGTGAACTCACCATACAATAGATCTCTCGAACTCCTGTCTAACTCTAATTATGTGTCCTTTGACCACAACCTCTGCCTCTACTCCCCTGGAACCACCTCAGTCTCTGGTGATCACTATTCTTTACACTTTTCATGAGATCAACTTTGTTAGAGTCCACACAACTGAGATCACCTATCTGTCTCTATGTGCCTGGCTTATTTCATTTCACAGAATGTCTTCTACTTCCATGCACATTGTTCCAAATGCTTTGTTGTATCCCATTGTGGGTGCACACAGGTGCACATACACACACACACTTTTTTTCTTTATTCTTCTCTAAAGGATATTTACTTAGTTCTATATTTTAGTTATTGTGGATAGAATGATGATAAACATGAGAATACAGATGTGCAAGTGTAGTCTTTTTTTTCTTAACCACACAGGGTTCTTACACAAGGGGAATAGACCCTAACTATGCCAGCAAAGTCTCTGTCCCAGTCCCTAAATTCTTAGATGAAGGGAAGCGTATGCGGTCAAAAAGCCAGAAGTGGAAACTGAGAACAAAGGTGGGTTTCACTGATTCCTGGGGTAAGTAGCTTAAAGTGTCTCAGTGTCCCTCTTGGCCATTGAAGGTTGACATCCACAAACAAGGACATAGGCTTGTGGGAGGTACCACTCTCTGAAGGAGACAAAAGTTCTGTGTGGCTACTCACATATAAGTCACTCCTTCTACATAAGCCTTGGTGTTATCATCTGCTGGATGAGTGGAATTCATTGGGTTGTCCTCTCAGTGGTCTGTGTCAATAGCATTAAGTCATCCAAGTGGAGATTTCAGAGGCTGGGAGCAGCGTCACCCACACCTCAGATTCCCCTTTGTCTTAGGAGACCACACATCTCAAGGCTACTTGAGAATGATGAGGACATAAAGAGGGCTAAGGCTTAGAATGCCAGATTCCTCACCTCACTATCCAGTTCCTTCTGCTGCTTGATGGAGGGGAGAATAAGTTACCTATAGCTCTCCTCATCAGTTCTTAGGCAATAACATGGACCAAAGGGAAGACATTTGGAGCATCGTGCATTTAGGTTTCGAGTCCTGCCACTCTGTTGAAGTTCCATGTATTCTGAAATCTATCCAGTTGGTACTAAGAGGATACTTTAATGAGGGGTGGTTTGACTTGGGTGCCCATAGGGAACCCATGGAGTATAATTTAGAGATGGTTTATCTCATGTATGTGGAGGGCCAGGAAGAGAATGCAAAGAGAGTGGTGGCATGGGCTGTAAGGGATAGTGAGACTGTGATGAAATGAGAGCCTGCAGCCCTCCCAAAGGGCCTGGTTGCTATGCAACTCCAGCTAATTCTGCCATTGAGGACTGGGTAATCTGACCTTCCAGACAATCTGAGTTTTCAGGATAAGGGGGAAAAATCAGAGTTATGTGAAATCTCTTGCATTGCCAGGTGTGGTGGTACACATCTGAAATCTCAGCTGAGGAAGGAGGATTGCCTAGGCAACATAGTCATAGTGAGTTCGAAGCCAGCTTGAGCTGGCTCAGAAGCAAAAACAAAGGGAACCTCTTGCCTTCTTAAAAAAACGATAGCAGCCAGTTAAAGGGAGTTTTCACAATCTACGTAAATTAAGAAAAGATGTCTGCAAATCTTATTTACCTGCAAGTTTTCAACTCCAAGTTGGTTCATCTGTCCCATTTTTGTCAATAAAGAAACAGGGTCAGAAAGCTCAAGGACTTCTAGCCAGTTGAGTGACAGAGACACATGTTGAACACACACACACACACACACACACACACACACACACACACA